AGAGAGAGAGAGAGAGAGAGAGAGAGAGAGAGAGAGAGAGAGAGAGAGAGAGAGGACCACCACGCAGATAAAGCACCAACCACCGAGCACATCCGCACCGACGCAAAGCACGCACACGCGCACCGACCACGGAGCACACACATGCGCACGTTCAGAAAGGCGCATGTTCGAAAAGTGGCAGGCAATTTGAGAAGTGGCCGGCAACAACAATGTGGGTGGGAGATTGGAGGGGTGGGCCGGCAACAACAATGCGGGCGGGCGATTGGAGGGGTGGCCAGCAACACAAAAACGGGCGGCCGGGGATTGGAGGGGTGCCCCGGTAACACAAAAACGGCCGGGCGGGCGATTGGAGGGGTGGGCCGGCAACACAAAAACTAGCGGGCGAACGATCGGGCGATTTGGTGCTTTCGGTAGCAACCGGCGACCGGGCGATTCTAGGGGTAGGCAGGGTGGGCAGCAATTAGAAAAACGGGCGGACGGGCGGGCGGGCGATTGGAGGGGTGGGCAGCTGGAAAAACGAAAATGGGTGGGCTTCCCGTAGCAACCGGCAGAATCCGAAACCCGATATCGGACGGTCCAAATCGCAGGCCGGTCACCACTGCGGACGGGCCACATCGCAGGCCAATCAGAAAACTTTCTGATCGGCCCGCGATCCGCGCCGTCCGCGGTGGTGACCGGCCTGCAATTCTGGCCATGCGATATGACGTTTAGCAGCTATTATAGTAGGTCTGGACACATGGGTTGGAATGAAACATGATTGTATAGCTTACGTGCAAGGCTGCAAAGTATGTCAGAGGACACAAGAGTTCCACACAGCCTCCCCTTGGTTTACTTAGACCGCTGCCTATACCGCCGGGTCCTGAAGACTCCGTGTATTTAGCAAGTTCGCTGTCTTTGTACCACTCCCTGCTGAAGCCAGAACAGACTTAGTAATTCGGGAGTCCTTTAATCATTGGGTGAGACTACGGACATCCCTTGACTATTATAAGTGATAGGGATACGAAATTTGCGGGTGAGCACTGGCAACAACTCATGGACATCTAGGGTCCAAATTCAAGCAGACATCCTGAGACAAATGGACAGACCAAGCAAATGGAAAAAAAGGATTACAGCAAGTGCTACGTATGTACATCCAGCCAGATCAAATTGACTGGGATGAGCATCTGCCCAAGGTCGCTAGTGCTTATAACAATTCGGTACTACTGCTGGAACGCCCACTGAACTGCATTTGGGATGGCGCCCACGCAGGCCCGTTGACTATCGAAACCCTGATCAAGTGCAAAGGCTTCCACCAGGGACTAGAGAATTCGCTGTGCAGTATCAGAAAGACTTGGAAAAAGTAAGAGAGAACATCAGGAAGGCACAGAATCATATGATAGAACAAGCAAATAAACACCGCAGACCTTCGCAGTTCGCTGTAGGGGATTTGGTCTGGGTAAAGTCTAAAGAGTTTATCCCAGAAGAGAACATCTCAAAGAAGTTATTGCCTGCGTATAGAGGACTGTGGCAGATACTCGACGTGATTGGTGATGTGGATGGTCCTTCCTACATTGTTGAGATTCCTCCGCATTTGCACAATTACCCGGTGTTTCATGCCTCTAACTTGCTCGATTGTGTCAGCAATGAGCTGTTTCCATCTCAAAGATCTATGGTTCCTCCTGATCTGGATGGCAAGTATGACATGGACCGCATCGTCGCAGAGGATGTTTATAGATCGATGCAGGGGTAGGCCCCAGCGACAATATAAATTGAGGTTTGCTTATCAAGAGCCTTGAGAAGCTGGTTTACTATAGATGAGCTGGTGGAGAGAGCACCACACATACTGTCTTACTACGAAAGAGCTAGACGAGGAATCAACATAGTTGATAACTTGATAGGTAAAAATTGTAACTTTCTCGGAGGACCTCAAAATTAGTCTGGCGAGAGTGGCCGAGTCGGCCAGTTTCAGTAAGATTAAGTCGGGTAGCTAGACGAGGAATCAACATAGTTGATAGGTAAAAATTGTAACTTTCTCCGAGGACCTCAAAATTAGTCCGGCGAGAGTGGCCGAGTCGGTCAGTTTCAGTAAGATTAAGTCGGGTACCCAAGAAGTCAAGTCCAATAGGTACTCAGTCAACAGTCACATCCCAGAGGTAGAAGTCACATCCCATAAGTAAAAGTCACGTTTCATAGTCAAAGGTCGTGCCCCACAGGCAGAAATCACGTCTCACAGCCAGAGGTCATATCCCACAGGCAAGGGTCACAACTCACAGTCAAGGGCCGCGTTTCACAGTCCCAAAGCAGCAGCACACCAAGGGAAACTCAAGGAGGTACCAGGCCTCAATATTCTGAAGCAAACAGACCGCAGGCACGTAACACCGGTTCCAAGTCAAGCCAAAGGAAGCAGAGGCTGGGACGAGTAAAGGCTCAGTCCAAGTCAATATAAGGACTGGCCAGACTCATTTCGGACAGATTGCTCATTCTCAAGAAGTGTGGAAGTGCTGCTGAGGCGCTTGTGCGGTATCTGCGAGTGGCTAGCACTGGAGCCCTGCTGGGCAGCGCTGTGCTGAGGAAGGGAGGCGGCCATAGGTACATAGCTAGTAGTAGGAGATAGAGCTGAGTAGTAGCGGATGTATTCCGAGTCAAGATCTTCAAGTAGAGAGAGTGAGAGGGGGAGAGAGAGAGAGCACATGCATGAAGGGGAGAGAGAGAGAGAGAGAGAGAGAGAGAGAGAGAGAGAGAGAGAGAGAGAGAGAGAGAGAGAGAGAGAGAGGAGAGAGACACCTACACCTACCTTGGATGAGGATGCGGGATACGGATTGCTGAACTCTATGCTCTTGAGCGCTTGGTGACTGGAACTCCCAAACTGTTTAATATGATAACTGGTTGGAATTTCTAAGCTGCACTATTCAGAGTCAAAATCTTCAAGTAGAGAGAGTGCGAGGGGGGGAGAGAGAGAGCACATGCATGAAGGAGAGAGAGAGAGAGAGAGAGAGAGAGAGAGAGAGAGAGAGAGAGAGAGAGAGAGAGAGAGAGAGNAGAGAGAGAGAGAGAGAGAGAGAGAGAGAGAGAGAGAGAGAGAGAGAGAGAGAGAGAGAGAGAGAGAGAGAGAGAGAGAGTGTCACCTACCTTGGATGAGGATGCGGGATACGGATTGCTGAACTCTACGCTCTTGAGCGCTTGGTGACAGGAACTCCAAAACTGTTTAATATGATAACTGGTTGGAATTTCTAAGCTGCACTATTCTAGACTTTGCATCCCTGGTCTCCAGTGTGGATTTCGTGTGCTCTCTCAATATGTGTGTGTGTGTGTGTGTGTGCTCAAGGTGACGAGCAGTGAGGCTCAATGTATAAGCCCCTTCGAGCCCTTTTGAACCCCCCATACCCCATAGACACCCTTTGGTGAGACATCATCAAATTCAAAGATAAGGCTGTATTTGGGCACATTTCAGTGGGAACAAAATTGCCCCACGCAGCCAAAAAATAAAGCAAGAAAAAAAGACCCTCCTTCTGGTGCCGGCCAGGTACCCCGAGAGGGTTGCCCCCCGCGCAGGTTTGCCCGGGCCGCCCGGCCAGGCGGCGCGGGCCGGGTGACCTTGGTGACATAGCCAAAGGGGTTTAAACGGGGGTGCCTTAGTCTGATTCTTTTATTTTCTTTTTTATCTTCCATTCCGTGAGGAATTTTTTTTTTCTTTTTTCTTTTCTTTGTTGTTTTGAAGGCCCAAGGCCCTTGTGCAAGGCCTCTATCGAAGTGGTGGTAAGAGAACCACCGGGATTGAGGCTTTGTCAGCGGGCCGCTCCATCTATTGGTGGGGAGCACCACCTGCTGGAAACCGGGTCCAGCGTCCAGCCAAAACTCGTTTGCATTGCAATTCTACACAGCATATTTCTTTTCCCAAAATTTTTGAATTTTGGTGTTTTTTATTTGGGGCGTTGGGGCCGCTCGCACCCCCGAACGCGGTGCGGGCCTCCGTGCGTGTATCCCAGCACAAATTGGGTGCCCACGTGCCTTGCCAGATTCTTTGAAAAAAAGTAAAGCACTGCCTGAACAGAGCACATTGGCTGCCCATCACCAGGCACAGTGAGCACTAAAACTCAGAAGAGTCTGGAGAAACCATCAGGGTATGATGGGATAAGGGAGAGCGGATGCAGAGAAAGCATCAGGTCCAAACATTGCAGGCGTTTGCACAGGAGAGCGTGTACACTTGAGCACAGAGAGTAAACAAGAGAGGAGTGGAGGACACACTTTGGTAATGTGGTGGAGAGTTTCGGATTGCGGGAAGTAGGAAATCTGCATGCTTCATGAGCACAAGCCTCACCTATGTTTACTGGTTGGGAACAAACGAATTGCACGCTTACCGTTTCCGAATGCTTGGCAATGTCAGAAACTTGCTCAGAAGCTCAAGCAGTTTATGAAGGGTGTAACCTTGAGAGATGTCTGCATAGTAACTTTCCTCCTGATCCTCAATCCTTTTCACTTCCGCTGATACTAATTCGCATAACTGGGGCAGACATCCCTTCACTGTTAGGTAACACCGAGTATCTTCAGGATCGATCATCTTGCTAAGAAGTTCGAAGTACTCAGCTGCACTCTCCCCAGCACCCCTGGCAACTGGAAGCAGCAGCATCATGAGATCCAGGAATAGAAGCCTCTTCCTCTCGCTTTGTGCTGATAACATCTCCACAAGCCGACATACCTCACTGCGAATGGCCTGAGAGCAGGCACTCAGAACCAGCTCCCTTATCCAAGGCGACTGCTCAAGTATGTCCATGTCATTCTTGGCACCCAACCTCTGTCTCCACCTTAGCCAGTACTTAAGTGCAAGAGCGTTATGAACCTGTGCTTCCTTAACAACAGTATCCCCACCTTTTCCTGGAGACTTGCTAGCAAATTTTGGCTCCTCTTTTGAGGACAATTGACGATGGACCACTCCTTTTCCACTTGAGCTCACCTGCTCCCAATTACTACTACCCACTTTATCCCCAACTTCACTAGACACCCTAGTTGCCAGGTGAGGACGCTGCAATCGGCTAGGCAGTGGAGCAAGAGAAGATCTCTCGTTGACAGCATCATCGGCACTCAATTGAGTGCGCTGTTCTGAAGGTGATGCAGGTTTAGCAGGTATGCAGAAATGTGCAACAAGCTGGAGACAGGGAAGAATGATATGTTCTGATATAACTGGATGGCATGCACCAACTTCAATGGAACGAAGAAGAAGTTGACGGACAAGACGGCGCCTCTCTTCCCAACAGTTGTCAACAAGCATACAGGTTTCAGCAAGGAGTTGAAAATCATCCCTGACACAAGCAGCGACATCCATTGAACGGTAGTGTTCCAGGCAGTACAAAACTTTCTCACTTATCAGTCGGTTCAGTTCCCTGACAGCAGAGGGATCACCCTCCGTAAACAGGCACAGAACAGCACGAGCATGCACTCGCATTGTCTTCGGGCCTTGGTGGATGTTGTTCTCAAAGAGCTCACGAAGAGTCCCTGAAGCAACCAGCTTATGACGGCAGTTAGGCTGCTCTGCAAGTGCCTGCAGCAGTTCCAGGCAATGTGCAACGAACGTGTTTGCACAGCCGAAGCACTTATTTGGAGGCCGAAGAGCTAATTCCTTCAATCCCAATGGCACACTGCTTGGTCCATCAGAGCCCCTTGTCCTCTCCAGGTATGACATCAGCACACGCCTTGTTCCGAGCAAGGTCCTGACACTTTTGCTGACAGACTCAAATGCCTGCTTGCATTTCTCCCCATAAAGCACACCCAGGATTGCAATCTTCCTGTTTATTTTAAAGGAGGCAGAAGAACCCTGAAGGGTGCCATAGATCTGCTGCACAGTATCACCCTTATGGAGCTGCTGCTGCTGCTGCTGCTGCTGCTGCTGCTGCTGCAACTGCAGTAACTGCTGTTGCTGATGTTGGTGATGGTGATGGTTGTGCTGTTGCTGGGGCTGCTGTTGTGGCTGCTGCTGATGTTGGTGATGAGATGATGCAGGTGTAGGAGAACTTGACGAGTCTCCACTCTCGGTATCTCCAATGCTGGAAATCAGCTTCATTAACGGCTTTTTGATACCCAGAAGCTGCTGGTATCTTCTGTGTGCATTCTCTGACTCAGCTTCCATTGCAGCCAAGCCTTTTCTCATATCCTCGTCATTCTCCATGCTCTCGAATGTAAAGCTAGGCTTTGCCATAAATGTGAACTCAAAACGTCCATATTTGCTGTAGCCACATTCATTACACAAAAATGAATCCAAGTTTTCATAATTTATGTTGCGACACTGCCGACACTGGTATGCATTCTCATGACAGTTTGCACACAGACCATGTTTATCTGTTACACAACGGCTGCACCTGGGGCATTGAAGGCTCTCGAGTGATGATGCCTGGAGATTCTCATAGAAGGAATCCAGTTCAATCATGAAGTTGCAGGCAGTGATGGCTATGGGGAACTCAACTTTCAGTTCAAGCTGGCCAGCAGCCAAATGGCAAGTTTTTGCACGCTTCCACAACCCCCAGTTGTTCTTTAGTTCAGATAGGTCTGACACTGGACGATTGTTGTAATACAAGTTCACAGTCTTTACAGATTTAGACTGCCGTGCTTCATGCACATTCATGGTTACACTCTGGATGGTAAAGCTTCCGAGACATTTGACCACGATTCTGTTGTCTGTAAATTTTGTCTCACTCTTCAAGCTCTCAAGCTTCATCCGTGAGTAGGGCAGCTCTGGGCTGCTACACGCCGGGCATGGCTCACTCTCGAGATAGTATCCATCAAACTCGACAAGACTGCGGAGAGTGTTATATATTCTGGAATTTGGATGATTCGCAAGTAGCTCATTTTGTGATTGCAAGGCATGGAGTAGTGAGTCAAGCACTCCATTTGTTACACAGGACTGCACAATTGCTTCTTCCTCCGCGACTCCCGACCCAATTGGAGACCCCTTCCGTAGGAGAACCTTCAGCAGTTCTGTGTACTCGCCAATGTTCTGACCATATGCTGGCAGGGATGGTATCTTCTCCAACAATGTCATCAAAAGCAAGGACCGGAAGGCAGCCTTCCCATGATGCCATGCACCCTGGAGCATCAGCTGAGCCTCAGACCTGACACTTGCCACATTATATTCAAGCAAGAATATGTCAATAAAATGAGAAATGACCTTACCATCCTCCCTCACCACTAGCTCTGTGACCTGCGCCATGTCCTGGACGGCCCTTTCCCTGTCATGTGATCCGACCTCAACAGCCTCCTCAGCACTGCTGCCAATAGTCTTCTCTTTCCCACTCTTCTTCTTCTTCTTCTCCTCCAGCACACCTTTAGGACTGGAAGGCCCATCATCCCCACCCTTTGCCCCTTGTAATGGATGCCCTGAATGAAATGCCAGCGTGAGAAGTTTCATAGCTTGCACTACACTTTCCTCCCCAAGGCGATAGATTGCATCAAAAAGAAAGGGCAGAGTATCTGATTGCTTCAAGCAGAATCTTTGCCAGTTACATGGCCTTGAGGCAGCCACCTCTGCCATCACCGTCAAACATTTGACAAGCTTGACCCTCCTCTCATATGAAAGTGGATCTTGCAAACCCCTCGATTTCTTTGCCATCTTGTACAACCTCCGCACTTCACATCCCAACTGCCACATGTCCCTTACTTTGTAATACTGCCCCTTGCTTCCGCACACATGAACAAGCAATCGCCTGGCATACTTTCGTACAAAGCTTGCCTGCTGATTATTGATATAGAAGCAGAGAACCTCTTCCCATCCATCAAGGCAGATGGCCATCCTGCTCATAGCACCTTTGCCACTAACCTTTGAGAGGCCCTTTTCACCCGCCTCTTTTTCAATCCTCACTAGCCCATATGCAAGGCGGAACACACTTTCCAGCATGAGACGGAAGAAGTCCTGAAACAAATTCTCACGATGTGACTTTGCATATGAATCAGAAAAGAATGGTGAACAACTTCCAGCTGCAAATTCTCGACGAATGACAAGAAGTGACCCGCATGAGGGACCTGTTCCAGCTGCTTCCCCTGTTCCCCAGTCAGACCCTGACATCCTCGTTGAACCCTTAAATGCAGGACCCAAGCGCTTCAGGATGGAGTGAAGATAGTTCACCAACTCTTGCTGTCTCAAGACAGCACATGCACGTTCCCAGGGCAAGCCAACTCGGGCCATTCCAGGAGTGCCATCCAATTCTGCATCACTGAAGGATGCACCATCCTTGGACATCTTTGAAAAAGGCTCACTTGGAAGAACCATCCCGATCACCTCCTTGCCACCTCCTGCCTTGTTTGAAGTACCTTCAGAGCTGCAGCTAGTTGCAGGCATACGCCGATGGCGAAGGAGAAGTGAGAAGAACATAAACATTAAGATTGCAACCTCGCCGAAGTCGGATCGTGATTCTACATGTAAAGGGACTGACAAGTTTAATTGATCAAGCATGAGGTGAACCAACTTTTCTAGATCAAGCTTCCCCTCCATTGACATCCAACCCGGAACATACTGACTGTCAACCAATGGGCTTGAAGCAGCAGAGGCGAGAGAGAACATCAGTCGCATTGCCGGGATAGCCACGGCACCAGAATGCTGATGCATCCAAGACATATCCTCAACAAACTGCTTCAGCAGAATTTCTCGGACAACCTTTCCCTTGGATAGGGATGATTCAACTGCAAAACTCACCGATGCGTTCCCTGGAAGTCCAGCGTCACCACAGTCATCGGCTTTTGCCTTGCCCTCCTTCTTCTCCTGTCCAGTTCCTGGAGTCGCCATTGCATTTGGGGGGCTCCCAAAAGACGGCACTGCCCTTGAAGCGACACCCGTAGTTCCTGCTCCAGCACTATCTCCTTCACGATGTAGAGCTGGTGTGTTTATGTGCATCCGGAGTTCTGCAGCAAGCTGCAGCAATCCTTCTTCTGAAACATCTTCCATGGAGGAGTACCTGCTGAGATGATCATCTGCACCTGGATCAGGCCGGTCAGGTGCATCGTCCCCACCCTCAATCGCCTCTACAGAATCTATGCGGAGAGCGGTCATTGGATGGTCCCTCCTGTGTGGAGGAGGCAGGTCTGCATCTGCTGCTGCATAACATGCATCACAGAGGTCAAAATCTGGGCATACAGTGCAGTGCCAGCGACTGTGAGTGATAGGGCACAGAGAGCACCCATCACAACAATATTGAACAGACTGCATGGATGGATCCTCCTCTGGCAACCCTTGGCTGTGTATGCTTTCTCCACCATCTGTTGCCATGTGTGACTTCACAGAACTCTCCTCCATTGGCAGCATGGTGGGCAATGCAACTGTCAGCTGCAAAAGCCGAGATGACAGGGCCAGACTGCAATCGTATGCACCAAAGACAAGGCAGCATTACCAATCTGCATGAGAAATCAGCTTACACGTATGCAAATCACTACACAGCAGCACAACACCTGCATCTCTTTGCAGACTACGCTTTCACACAAGAAGGCCCTCTAATCCATCTCCCACCCTTGCTTCCTATAAGATTGTCAGCAATCTGCAGAAAAGAAGAGAAGAATGCACATCTAGACTATCATCAGACTACTTTCAGAAGAAACTGCATATTCCGACCGCAAATTCTCAGAAACCAAGGTGTAAAGTAATTCATTCCATGCCAATGCCACATAAACGTACGACAGGCACGAGCTCTAGGGAGCTGGAAATAGCTCAAACCTGTGTGTGAGAGGCGGTTAACTGCTCCCCCAGCCCTTTATTCCTTTCCCCCAGCTGATTCACTTCATCCTCCTGTTAATTAGAATCATCTTCACCTTTCTCCTGGAAAGTCGAGCCTTGTCAATTCCTGCCACATAAATCTTCAATCCCTCATCCACATCGTCAGCCTCCTCATATCACCCTCATCTTGACTTTCTCAGCATTCTTCTGGTGTCCTCACTCGTTCCCTTCCCCACCCTCCCCTATTCCGCCTGTTCCGTTTCCTCACTGACGTCAACATCTCCACCAATAGGCTCCCCTTCTGGTCCTTCCCTCAAATTCTCCTCATTTGTCTCCTAGTTTTTGTGCACTTGTCTCCTAGTTAGTTTTCGTGCACTGCTCACACACTGGACCCAATTGCTGTGCCCTTATTCCATCATCCTGCCAAGTCACCTTGCTCTCATTCTCCCTTAGAACCATTTCCCCATCCTCATCATCCTTGTGTACAATTCTATTTCATAATCATTGTTCAATTTGTTCTTATAATTCTGTGTCAGAAAAATAATTGCAGTTTAATCTCTCTCCTCTCCCCCCCTTTTATCCTCTTGGTTGTCCCTTTGATTTTCACTGCTGCAGCATTAGTTTTTGTGCACTGCTCACACATTGGACCCAATTGCTGATTCATCATCCTGCCAAGTCACCTTGCTTTCATTCTCCCTTAGCACCATTTCCCCATCCTCATCATCCTTGTGTACAATTCTGTTTCATAATCATTGTTCTTACAATTCTGTGATAGAAAAATAATTGCAGTTTAATCACTCTCCTCCCCCCCCCCTTTTATCCTCTTGCTTGTCCCTTTGATTTTCACTGCTGCAGCCTTGGTCTGAAACTTAGCTCCGTCATCAATACCAGTCACACGTATCGTATTCACAAAGTCCTAGGTAGGCTAGTACTAGTAGGCCATGGTGGGAAGATTCCGGTAGGTACTGATTGGGGTGTCTGTAGAAGTCCGCGGGGCCTTTTTATCAATGGAGTCCAGTCAGCAGCAAAGCCCTAGGAAAGTCCACAAACTTCCGGAAGCGACGAACATCGGCAGGTTACTGGACCCATAACCAGTCCGAAGAGTCCAGAAAGCAATCCATAAATGTCCAGTCATGAAAGTCGTCAACGCATTCACTTGCGAGCCCATGCGGAAGCGCTGCAGTGCTGTTTTGGGAAACTCCGAAGTGCACTACTACTCTGTTTTGTCGTTGGCATAGGTAGTTGAAGGCGCTGGGTGCCACTGCTAGGTTTAGTGCGAAATTGAGTGAGCGAGAGAGGGTGATTCAGAGAGGAGAGACTTGGAGGGAGGGAGAGGGAGAGAGAGAGAGAGAGAGAGAGAGAGAGAGAGAGAGAGAGAGAGAGAGAGAAGTGCAAGGAACATAAATGTGGACGAAGCACAGAAATCCAAACTGCAAAATCACACTGAAGTACAAGTAGTCAAAGCAAGAGCAGATAGCACAATGGAACCAAGTAACCATCCAATTGAGAACGAAACAGCAGAATCATGAGTCAATGTCCAAGCCCAATCGGGCAACACCAACAGCATAACCCAATGTAGCTCTCTCTCTTGAATGGCGCCAGGCGCCCTATCTACTCTACAGCCTATCACTACAACTACAGCATGGAAGCAACCAGACAACTTGTCGACCAGCGAGTGATGACCTCAACACCAATGCCGACCTCCTCTCCACCAGGTACGTCTCTCTCTTCCCCTCACTCTCCCTTGTTGTCCCACACAGCGCCCTTCACCTCCGAAGAACCACCTTCGCCCTTCACCTCCTCTGCGCCCACAGGCAGCCCGGCTATGGCCGCCAGCGCCCTGCGCCCAGGCTGCGCCCTACCGCTTAGCGCCAGCCTGGCGCAGCACAGCACCTCGCAAATGCGCAGCGTGCCGGCATTGCTCGCAATGGCCAAGATCCCTGCCCACTCGCCCTCTCTGCATATATGCCAGTGTTGCGTGTGGGCGACCTCCCCTTGAGCCTGCGCCTGGGCCCCAGTACCTGTACCCAGGCCCAATGCGGTTGGGGCCCACGAAATACAGTTGCGCCTCTTTCATCAAAGCCTGGGTCCAGATTCAGATAGTGGACCGATTTCCAATTGGCATTTTCGGCCTCTATATCAGCATGCAATGTCGGCCTCACGTTTATGTGCCCAGGGCCTAACCAATTCTGGGGCCCTGGTCTTTCTGCATTTGCAGAAATCCAGTACTCGGTGCACTCCAACCAACTGGCGTGCAGCAACTGTGTGGACCCCACTTCGTGAAATGTTTGAACAAAGGGGCTCTCGTTGATTTGCTGGCCCGCCTTCACTTAGGGCGGGCACGAGGCTTGCTGGGGAGCTTAGCCCAGAACATGTACATCACGGCAAGGCGCCTTTGAGGGCTCAATCCTCACAGAAGTGAGTTGGAAGCTCTGCAGTGCTGTTTTGGGAAACTCCGAAGTGCACTACTACTCTGTTTTGTTGTTGGCATAGGTAGTTGAAGGCGCTGGGTGCCACTGCTAGGCTTAGTGCAAAATTGAGTGAACGAGAGAGGAGAGACTTGGAGGGAGGGGGGGGGGAGAGAGAGAGAGAGAGAGAGAGAGAGAGAGAGAGAGAGAGAGAGAGAAAGAAGTGAGTTTGGAAGAGAGAGAAGTGAGTTTGGGAGAAACAGCAACCATAGGGAGAGTTTGTTGCATAATCTCCATGAACAGTGAGGCAGCAGGCCATCGTCCTCGTGCGCTTGCCATTAGATCCTTTATCGCCGGCGTCACGCAAGTTCACAAGCATTGGACAAGAGAGACAAGGTAGTGAAGAGGACAGATGGGACAAGGCTAGGCGAGGGCAAGGGCAGATCAGAGATCAGGTATGAGGGTCAAGGGAAGGGTGGACTGGGTTCAAGGGTGTGTGTAGAGCAGGGTTGCAAGGGTTTTTAGCGGGGGTTTATGCCATAGTGATATAGGTATCTAGGACGTAGGATTAGCACGATCATAGGCGCGGACAAGTTTCATGGCGTTCTTAAGATTAGAGAGAGGTTCCCATGTRGATTCTTCGTCGGGGTATCCGGTCCATTTGACTTTGTATTCAGTGATTGGTTCCGGATGATCAGATACCTGAGTGGTTCGTCGGCCGATGATGGTTTCGACAATGAATTCAGGGCCTGTGGGTAGCATGATTGGTGGAGGTCTAGGATATGGGCGGTTGGCGAACTGGAGCGGAGATTCATGGTATTCTTTTAGGTACTCGACATGGAAGACTGGGTGAACACGACTCATGTCAGGGGGAAGTTGGAGTTTGTAGYTGACGGGGGAGGTTTGTTCAATGATGGGGAAGGGACCGAGCCACTTGTTCGAGAGTTTCTTGGACAAGCCTTGTTCGGGTTCAAAGCGTTTGG